CATGCATTGCAACAGGAACAGAGTAAAACCAAGTACTTCCCACAAACCTCATCACTGTTTTCTGATTGCTGTCCCATCCACATTGCAACTCTCTTCCAAATCCAAGCTACAGCTGCTACCAGATAGGGTTTCTGCTAACCCCACAGCTATACCTAGCACTTCATTGGCAGCAGTTTATCCTCATCTTTGAGAGTTCAGGTAGCACACAGTCATCTTCCAGTAAGTGTTCTGCATTTTTGCAGTGTATTCCTTACTCATCCTCTTGTACAAGTTTGATGACTCCTCCTTCCTCTTAGGTCCACATGTGGTAGGACATCCCCAGAGACAGTTGTAACAGTGCTGCTGTTCTCTGCTTCACTTAGATGAAGAGGCCATGGAATAGATGTATGTGCTAAAAAGCACAAATAACAAACACTATCAACATAGGTGCAGTTTGTGCACCTACATTTATTACAGCAGAAAAATTAGTTATTATTTAATTTCTAAGATTATGGTCAATTAATTACAAAGAAAAAAAGTCAAAATGGGAACGAAATGTTGTCTTTGGACAACTGAAAATTGCATTGCTACCTTTTTTTTTTCTTTTTTTTTTCTTAATTAGCAGAGGAGGAGGAGGGCGGGCAAAGGTTTAGATTGGGTTTAGATTCGTGGCCAAGTTTCCCTGTTTGCCGTCAGGATTGCAATAACAATGTTACAACTTGTGTTTCGCACAACATGTATCTCAGGTTTTAAGAAATACACGGTACCTTATGCCCTGAATGGTAAAAGAAACAGGCAAGCACTAACTCCAAGTAATTTTGTTACATTTAATTCTCTTCCAAAAATGTATCACAAAGTTCAGGAGCTTATCTTGCTAACATGAAGCTTGTCAACTCCCCTTTTAACTGACTCCAGCCCTATAGCTTTGAAGCTTGCGAGGGCTGTAGGCCATGGAGCTGAGCAGATTTCTCAGGAAATCTCGTGTATGCAAGGGGAGGCTGCGTGCAATGACTGTGGCTCACTGTAGCTTTTTGCAACCATTTCCAATGTCACAGTGACCTACAGTTATTTGAAAAGGAAGTTTCCAGCTGCAAGTATCTTTAATTTGCAGCGCTTACCTACTCACTGAAAGAAGCCTGGTGGGACTGGTATGCTTCCCTATTAAAGTTGTGTGAATGCTTTTTTATATTTTTAAATACTCGGTTTACATGACACTTTCTGATCTCATGATGATTACATAGGAAATTTAGTTAGGTTTGCCTTTCACAGCTAATGAGTGCTACTAAAACAATTTTTATACTTAAGCAATGAGATTCGTAGAGTGGAACTAGAGATGAGTCAGCAGTTAGCTAAGGTTATTTGAATAGCAATATACACCGTGCCTGCCACTAGGAAACAGTCCACAAAGGTCAGATGAAGTGCCTAGTATTTAGACACTACCACCGTGGTGATGTGAATTCTCTTAGGCGCTCACATTTTTTAGATGAAGCATCATTCTATTTGACATTTGGATGTTGTCATATTAAATACCCACTACTTGGTATCTGGATGACAGGGAAGAATGCTTGACGTCATTGGTACTATTCACAGTGAGGCATGCCTGCCAGATTGACAGATGCTGCTCTCTCCCCATCTAGGGGACTTAGGCACTAAAATTAGTAGCTATTAAAACAAGCATACTCAGTAAGGATCTGCTGAATCTCATCAACAAGAAATACTGAAGAGAAGGCAAAGAGTCACCACTGCACTTTCTGTGGGAGTTGGGGCTGTAATTCACAAGCAGAGACAGCACAGCTTACAAAATGACTGCCCCAGGTATGGTACAGAGGGAGCTGAGTTGCTCAAGTATCATCAGGTGCTGAGCCACAGGCAGCTTACAACGCACAACGATAAAGCAGAGTAAGGGCAGTGACAACCTTTACAAGTTATTACCTACACCGATGGCATGTGTGGGGATGGTAAGACACTGCTTCTCACAAACAGTCCTGGAGAGGAAATGGTTTATAAGCTAAAACTCATATGGGGTTCAGCTCTGTTGCCTCTGCAACCACAGGAAACAAGCCTACCAGCCCCACTTGTGAATCATAGCTTTTGGGAACTTCACCTTGAAAAGCAGGAAAGTTTTTCTTCAGGTAAAATTGATCTCTTTAATCCTTTCTGCTGGGATCATTGCCTAAGCGTTTTCATTTGCCAAAAAAAAAAAAAAAAAAAAAAAAGCACTCGAAACACAGCTGCTTGTGATGGTTCCACCCTCCCTTGTTCAATTGTTCAGTGGTGTAACATTCAGCCTGAATGTTGCAGACCTACTTTTAATTCTCTGTTCTAGCTGAGAGGATTCAAGGCCACATTGTTCCAGCCCTCCACTCAAGTGACCTAGCTACAAAACAACTGAATTTATAATAAAAAAAGGAGAAAGACATCCCACCATCAACGCCTTCATGTTCTGCTGACCCACTTCAGTGGGAGCACTTGGAGATTCTGCGTGGCTCTTAACTGAGGCTGATTTTGCCATGACTGAGAACCACAATTAGTCAATAAAACCAGTGTTACTGGTTCCAGACAGACACAGACTTTAAGGCACCTTCTGCATCAGGGGTGAATGGGGGGTTTAAAATTTCTTTGCAAGAGAAATCCCAGGTCTCTGAATTACTCACCAAAAGTCCATTTTTATCAGTCTTTCTGACATGTTTTTATGAGAGCATTAAATGCCATTAAACTTGAGAGAGTAAAACAAAGATTCTCCCAAAGGTCGAGCTAAGAACAATAGCATTAGTGAATTACAGTTTGTCATCACAAGACCAAATGGCATATAGGCGTTGCTATACAGTAACATGGTCCTGGCCCATAAGCAAGAACTGGGGTTTAACAATTGACCTTTATTGCTATAGATAAATACCAGCTGCTTCACTCTGAGCCTGAACCGTTTAGTTTGTGTCACAGCTTTTAGTCTTTCATATGTAAACAAACTTATGCAAACATGTAAGTTTGAATTTGGGGTAGTTTTTCAAAGCTAATCTTACAAAACAAGAGTGCTTACTGAGATACTGAGAAGTTAAATGCATGAGCAGTATATCTGGTTTGAGTTACAAGGAAGCCTCTAAATCCTTTTGAAACCCAATCTTTTTCAAACATACACCACATGTGTGTTTGCACATACATGATTGTAACAACGGCTTGCAGATACCTCGTTTTACTCTCTTCGGTAACGAATGAATTTGCTTAAAGAGCCAAAATTCAGCACATACAAAAGCTGCAATTTGAAAAATCCCGACAGCATTAAACCCTGTTGCGGTAGGAGCAGAGCTTCTGTGTGAACTGTGTGTATTTTCCTCTGTATGCTGCATCAAACGCGCTCTTCGAAACTCAAAAAAACAACAAAAAAGAAGTACTGTGAGCCATTTGCCCTTCAGGCACACCCGAGCCAGGAGCTGTGATGCCACCTGCTGCTGGCACTGGGCGCTGGCCTCACGGGCCGGCCCCGAAAGCGGTAGGGGCAGGAGCGGAGGGAAAGGGGGGAAGACTGAACTCAGCTGGCGACCCCGTGAGGACCCGGCCGGCTTCACCTCCTTCAGACATGGCAAAATCGGTTTCACTGATAGTTTACAAAAGTTCTGTTTGGAGTTTTCATCTCTGCCCCCTCTAAATGTAAACATTTTCAGCGAAAAAGTGGTGACTGAGAAAAAACTTACTGTTGAAGCATTTGGATTTCTTCTGTCTTCTCGGAAAGAGTTTTGAACCTTTTTCCCCCCTCTGTTTTTCAGCATCTTCCATACCCTTCTGACAGGCCTACTGCTAGCATCCTCTGATCCTTGGATTGTTCGCAGAGTTCCCACTCTTTAGCAAAGCTAAACCAGGGCTGAGGTAGAGCAGAACCTTCAGAGCTTTTCCTTACAAGTATCAGTGAACGATTTTTATTGCACTGTCCTTCTCAAAAGAGGTCAGTCCTGGTAGGTTATTCATAAAAGAAGTCTATTTCTAAAACAAATAATCGCTGTCCTCTAATGAAATTTATTAGAAGTTAAGTTCACAATAGCAGCCTACCAAGAAACAGCGAAACACTCTCAACCAAATGACATTTCTTGATTTTGTAACCTAAATTCATAAGGGATAACAATGTAATTACAAAAAAGTGACAGAAGCAGCTCTGATCACCCTTTCTCTCAAGTCCAAAAAGCCAGAACCACAAGTGTTCAGGTTATAGCAAAGCTGCCTCAGAGTACTGCAGCAAATCTGCTACGTGTTCCATACCACAAGAACTAGAGGATATAATCATGACAAATGGAACAAAAAGGAATGCCTCCTCCTCACACACCCAAAAGCACAACCCTCAGCAGCAGCTCTTGAAAATATATTGTATACTATTTCATTTGGAAAGCAAGAATGACATTTTCAGATAGAAAACAACAAGGACAGAAGCATCATACCTTCATCCAGCCCCATTCTCACTCTGCTTTGAAAAAAGACAGGAAGAGAAAAGAAAGAAAAAAAAATGGTGCAATGAAATGTAATGAATTCTATATGGTCAGTCCTGCAGATCTGGTAAGAGGCATCACTCAAGCATTCTACTCACACGTGGTATCTTTTTTTAAGATATCACTCACTAATATTTACCATGTAAGTTTTTAAAAAGCAGTATTAATACTGTACTTGGTGTCAAGAATGGAGGTGCTAAGGTGGTAAAATACCCCCTCAATTACATACATAAGACTGAAAATGTTTAATGTGCAAGTCTTGGACAGAAATCATTAATTTACACCATACTAAAATTTGAAGGATATAATTTCTTCATTGTATATGCTCAAAGCAGTAAGTGCTCAGTTGCTGAAGTACAAACATCAGTATGCTCAAGTGACTTATGCTTCATTTTTAAGGCAAAAATAGGTAACAACACGACTGCATACAGCTGCAAAAAATCTTACGGTTATGATTAAACAGTCCACTTCTAGCATGGAGATTTTAATTACATACTTAATATAGCCGTGTTTTATTTGAAAAGTTACCATTAAAAATGTAAAATTAACCTAGCTAGGATGAGTAGCACTGACACTTTTACCTGGGCCTCCACCCTCACTGATCTTTGTCCCTAAACCTCTGTCACTGCAAGTTGTCCTCTCTTCCTGCCCATTTCCAGTCTTATTACACTGGTGCAGGTGTGCCTAGGCAGCCCCAGAGTCCACAGAGGAAAAAGCTGGAATGCTACAAGTATACGCAAAAGGTCCCAACAAGAAAAAAAGAAAAAAGCAATCCTGAGAAATAAAATTAATGGGAGGGATAAAAAGCTCTCTGCAGGTATCAGGAGATTTGCTCAGTCATCCTTGTCTTTTGCTCCGTGTTTCAGGATGCGCGTGAATTCAATGTAGTTGAAATTCCCCTTTTTGTCGATGGGTGCCTCTCTGTACAGCTCATCTACCTCTTCGTCTGTGAACCTGTCCCCCATAGTCGTCAGCAGCTCTCGCAGGTAATCTTCCTGGATGAACCCTAGAATGAGATGTATTGAGAGAAACACAAGAGGGAAGCCATTTCGTAGCCGAGTCTTCAAAAGCAGTAAGACAGACATACCAACAGACCTGCAAGTAACTAATACAGCATCTAATATATGCATTTGCACCAAAAGCCCAAAATACTTTCTTAATTGATTTCTAAAGAAATCTGTTGAATGCAAAGGGGAAGGGGGGGCAAATCTGATGCATTTCATTACAGATTTCTGAAAAGAGGGCCTGATCTGCTGTGATCTAGTAACACCTACTTTCATCTACTGATCTTCAACAGCTCAAACTGGAAAAACAAGTTTTTGTCAATGCTAGTCTTCATTACACAAGCTGTTTCCCTTAATTGAATTATATTTTTCTTGACTTAATTAGATATATTTGCGCATCCTCTATAAACTAGTTTCCTCTGGGGACTAAATAACCACTGGCTGGCTCTTCACTGCCACACAGTACTGTTGCTGGAGGCGGTTTATGTGGATACAGTGAACTACTGGCAAGCGTCCAGGGAAAGAGTTTATAACAGAAAAGACTTTCAGACAGGATTGAGCAAGTTAACTCAGGAGGGAGGAATAATGTTTACTGTAGAAAGGCAGAGGTGGAGAAGCTAGTCAAAAAAAGGTAGGATATAATAAGTATTTTATGCTAAAATACTAGCAGAAGACTTTGGAGGAAATTAACAAAGATATAAAAATGAGCAGTTGCTAAGTATGTTTTGTTAATTCAATTTCAATAGATGGGCAGAACCACCAGTTGCCAAATAATTCGAGGAAAGGTCAGAGATGAAAAAAGGAATGCGCATAACAAATAGTAGACAGAAGAATGCAGAAACTGCTTAACGCTGAAATAAGACCTACCCTGCCTTTAAATGCACAATAGTTGCTTCATTTGAGGAATTGGTTATTGAACTTTATTTGGAGAAATATCAGTAACAGAACAGAGGAGGTAGAAGCGTGTTCCAAAACAAAAAAAAAGATAGGTAAACTGTGCAGAACAGCTGGAAATCATATGTAGACACCCACATCAACTGATGTAGATTCAAATAGGATGTGATTAAAAAAAAAGTTCTGCTTTGGAAAGAGAGTTGAATAACTTAAGCAAACAGAGTTCATTAGAGAGACAAAACCGAACAGAGAATCAGGGGACCAAAAAGCAGTCAGTGAGCATAACAAATTATCATGGGCTGGTGTATGCTGCAAGGAAGGGAAAAAAAACCTGTGTTTCAACATATGCTAATTAAACCAGCATCATATCCCAGTGTAAACAAGCCCTTTACTACTGACTCCAAACTAAGAAGGCTAAGACCAATGTTCTACTGTAAAACTGGGGAGAATTTTCAGTTAGCCAGGCCGATCTTAATCGGGTCAAATTTTGGAGCTGTCTCTTTGCAGATGTGTGTAAAGAAGGGGAAAAACCAGCTAAACAGATTAGGCTCTATGTCTGCAGCCCTACAGAGACCAAGTAGTGATGAGAGATGACAGAAGGATTAGTATTCAAAGAATGCAAGGCCTTTGGTGCTGCAAGTTTAGCCTCAAGGTCTTAATTGCTTCTGTCTGAACGGCTAGGTGTTTAAACACTGAGAGAGGTTGCCAAACTAGGAATACACTACAAGTTTTAGCAGCACCGAATTGCAAAGCAAACAGTATTCCCACTCTCCCTTGCACACAGCTTCGATATAGATGGGGAGTAACAAATTAATGAAGCAAAATTTAAGATTCAGCCTGTGGCAGACAGCACAAAACAGATGACAACGCAGGATCAAAGAGCAGACAAGATACACCAAATGCAGACAGATGTAACTTTTATACTTATTTTGTAGTGCTACATATGATAGTAATGCTGAAGCAATATACCCAACTAGACTGGCAATATAGGAAATATAAGTAAAATCCAGTAAGTACAACTACCTTATCCTCATCAAGAGGATATGATTTGCATTATTCTCTTTCAAAAGAACTACACTGATGTGGAGCCAGAAAATCAGGCCCATAACACACATGGAGATTATGAAGTGGGAAAAAAAAAAAAGTTTGACGTAGCTGGAAATGCTTTTGTTCATTTTTTAAAGGAACAAACTGATCAGAAGCCAAATCTGAGAATAAAATGAATAAAAGGCAAACATAACAGGGGTTCTACAAATACATCACATGTTATTTTGAAGACTGCATTTTGACTATTAGGAATCAAAGAACAATAAACCAGTATATCAATCTAACACCCTTCCTGGATAAAATCTGCGGATGGCATAAGACACAAAAGAGACTGTGGAACCATTATCCTCAAATCATCCTAGGACTAGACTAAAACATGTACCACACAGAGTTGAAAGATGATAAAATCAATCTTATCAGTACATGGGGGCCTGAACTAGTAACTTATTGTTTACATAGAAGGTTACTGTTCAAAAGAACTGGTAGCACAATCATTTTCTTTATATTGTAATTCACAGGCTCTTGTTTTGGTGCACACAAAAAAACCTTGTAGCACCGTGAGTCAGACTACCTGTGGAGAGAAAATAATTAACCTACTAACAAAACTTCCTTCTCTAGGAGATGGTAAAGAGATTTCCCTTGAGAGGGAGGAAGTCAATTAACATTTGAAAAGGCCTTACCAACAGAAAGCCTGTTTACCTACACCTCAGCAGGAAGGGGATGCTCTTTGAAAAGGCAAAAGGTGCTAAAAATACACAGACTGAAAATAGCTGTTTGAAATGGACTAATATCCTTTGAAAGGTTCAGAGCACTTATCCACATGTTAGACTGAAATATTGTGGTGGACGGTTGTGAGAAAAATTATAGGTGCAGTGACATCTCTAGTAGAGAGGCTAGAAACTTTCAGCACCCAGCAGTAAGATGTGTTCATAACGGCTCAAAGTGCTGATATTCTGTGACTCCGCAGAATTGCCTTAAGGATTCATCCCTGGTTGCTACACATTTCTTCAGAATCTTAGCCTACATGAATAAGTAAATGAAAGCATAAACTCTAACCTCAAAATTACAGACACAAACTTGAAAGTTTGATGTAGTAAAACTGGGCTCTGCATTTGTTTTTGTTTGAAAACAAACTGAGCTGCAGGTGAGGGCATGACACATGGCATTTGTCATCATAGCCTTAACATACACTAGACAAGATGAGGGTTCAAAAGAGTTTATGTAGTCTGGACAGCCTGTCTTGAAATATTAAAAACACTGAAGAATTCAGATGCATCTCAGATCTACTACAGGGGGAGGACAAACTCAGTTGTATTACAGATTTCACATCCATTACCTTTTTCAATGCCTCAGCAAATCACATATTACCAATTTGAATTCATCTTAGAGCAAATGCATCTTACTTTGTACTTTGAGGAACATACATGCTGTCCAGTTAAAACACTCTTCTTTCTTCAAAGCTTCACAGAAGAACATTACTACTATTCACACAGAACAGCCAGACAGGTTTTACTCTCACTCAGTGGTAAGTCAAAGTCTCATTACTTGGTAGAATATACCATCTAGGATCACTGTGACATACTTCATTTATAAAGGTGCAAAAATCAGTATATTATTTAGAAAACCAAATAAACAACAGAAAAGTACTCCCCTCCCCAAGTGGCTGAGTTTCATCCCCATACCTGTTGCTTCTTCATCAAAGCAAGCAAAAGCATTCCTGATTACATCTTCCGGATCGGTGCCATTTAACTTCTCACCAAACATTGTGAGGAACATAGTGAAGTTTATGGGGCCTGGAGCCTCATTCATCATGGCATCTAGGTATTCATCTGTTGGATTCTTCCCTATAAATACAGGGATTCGTATTTGGTTTAGCTTTCAAATTGTAAGAAAAAGCCATCTGAAAAGCGTAATACAAACTGAGACCTCTCATAAGCTATCCCAAACTCATTTTAACAGCAAAAGTTTGCTCGACAACAATACACAGAAAAGTGACATTACCAAGGGAGGCGAGCATATCGTGCAAGTCCTCTTTGTCAATGAAGCCATCCCTGTTCTGGTCAATCATGTTGAAGGCCTCCTTGAATTCCTGAATCTGCGACTGATCAAACATTGCAAATACATTGGAAGTGGCACGCTGAGGGCGCTTCTTGGTGGTCTTTGTCTTTGCCTTTTTGCTAGACATTTTGATTTTTGGACACTAGGGAGAGAAGTAAATATAGTAAGATCGGAGTTAGGACTGAAAAAAACCCACTGTACTACAGTTTAACGTTAAAGTTTACAGATAGAAACCACTTCTAACACTTCCATTTCCTCTCATCAGAATGTAGTTCTCTAATCAAAAAGGGAGAGAAGCAGAAAATATGAACAAATGAACGGCAGACTCCTAAATAGAAAAAGTGACTAAAACAAGACCTAAGTTATACTTGAATTTCAGTATATTCTTCAAAGGGACAGCTTTTGTCTGGAATCCCTTCTTGATACATGCACCTGCAAGAAGTGAACTCAGGCTGCTCTCAAGTCTAAAAGAGCAAAGCGAGGTTTTGAGCGCTGTTATTAAGCCTGGGAGAGAGATCTGTATGGATATGGATATATGATAACTGTGTGCAGTATTAGATAGTAGGGGATGGAGAAACACATCTCGCTTTACCTGACCAAACTCTGAAGTGCCTGTACTTGACGTCTGACAACTGTAAGTAGTTACTATTTTGTATAATGATGGGCCTCTGTCCTTTACTTGCCTTCCGTTATTTAAAACGCCCTAAAACTAGGAGAAAACTGTGCCAGCTATATTTCTGCTCATACCAGTAAGTTCTGCCTCACCTCCATTTACTTTTCTACATTTAATTTTACCTGAAATAGACTACAGGCCTGCCATACCTGAAAGCTGACTTCTGCTGCCTACTCCTTTAAGCAAAAAAGGGAAAGCAACCAACTCACACTGCTTTTGTTCATCTCCCTAGAAAAACTGCTCAGAAAAAGGTATCTTCACCTCCAACACTCCGGCTGAGCTTGGGCCTGAACAACGCAGAGAAACGGCCACGCTTTGGTCCACTTCATTGCTACCGCTGTTATTGAATTTACCTGTTGCTAAGCCGGCTCAGGTTTCCATGGTGCAGTGCTTTAAGATTTTTATAAAATGAACCCGTGGAGACTGCGTTTGTCCTTCAGGGTAGGTGGGAGGGACGGAGGGAGGGGAACCTACACGCAGCCCCTTTCAGCTTTAACCCCAGAAGGCTGTGACCTGAAAGCAAACCTGGCACCTTGCCCTAAAGTTTGGACCCGTGGGGAGAATCAATCTCGGAGACGACGCGCCGCGAGCACAGAGGAGATTTAAGAAATAAATAATTTTTTTTTTTCTTTTAAATTTTTTGGCGCCCGGAGGAACGCTGATCTCTCTGCAAGAGCGGCAACCCGCTTCTGAAGGGCGCGGAGAATCGAAGAGCTCTTGCTCTCTCCAGGAAGAAACGACGCCACCGGCGATGGCGCCGGGCAACCCCCCCTCCGCTTTCCCGCCCTCAAACACCTTCCCCACCGGCAGCACCCGGGATCCTCCCAGCCTCACCCCAACGATCGCTGCGGGAAACCGGTACGAAACGGAGGCGAAAAGAGGAAGCGGCGGCGGCGGCGGCAGCGCCGGTGCTTCCCGGAGAAACCATCACCCTCCTGAGCGGCGGGTGGGGGACGAGGGGCGGGCGTGGGACGAGCGGTGGGTCGACGGCGGGCAACAGCGATTCTCAGAAGCAGTTGTTTGGTACACAGATAGATTCTGAAATATTGTCAGATGGGAAAGCTGTACTGTCAGTTCATCATTCTTTTAACTGCTTTCCTGCATGTTACCAAATTTGCTGGTATACAGTCGGTATCTTGGCAAACAGTAACTTTTAAGGAGTAAAGGAAAAAATAGATGAACAGGCTTTTGCTGAAATTACCCATTATATTTGCAGATGTAAATGGATTATATTTAGGCACTGCTCACACTGAAGTTAATATATAATCTAGAAGTTGCAGTCCCAGGTTTGAAATGAGACGCTTTAACTGCTGAAAGGCCCAACTTTCTTTCTCTACCCTCTCCTCAAACCAGAAGAGTTTGAGGTCTGAGAATTTGGCCTAATTAGCTTGTATAAGAATACTTCCCCAATGAATTTTAATATCACTCTTATAAACATTTGCCTCAAAATGCAATTGAAGATAATATTAAACTTTGCTGAATTGAGAGCATGCTCATGGAAAAAGTTTTTGGGAAAAATCGTCTGTACTTACTAGGCATGGCACATAGTTTCAGGATAATTATATGCAAAGTGTGAGCGGGCGGAAAAGCAGTAGAAGCACCAAGATGGTCATAGAGTTATTAAAATACTCCTTGATAGTCTTGAACAACTGAATTGTGTGTTGAAATTTAATTATGGAAATAGTTATTTGATATCT